TTAACAACAGAGGAGAAAAACAAAGCTGCCACTCAGCTTTTGGGTATCTTGATCTTTGCTTGAAGCTGCAATATGTCTGGTAAACACCTCGAACTCCCCCCAGTTCAGGCACACAATTTGCAAATATTCCTAATTAAGTTTCTGCTGGGAATACAGGTAGTCAACCTATGATGGCAATTGAGCCCAACATCTTTGTTGCTAAGTGAAACAGCTGTTAACTGAGTTTTGTCCCATTTTGTGACCTTTCTTGCCACCATTGTTAAGTGAGTCACTGCCGTAGTAATACAGTCATTAAGTGAATCTGGCTTCCCCCATTGAGTTTGCTTGTCAGAAGGTCGCAAGAGTCAGTGGCCAAGTGTCTGAATTTTTCTCACGTGACCAGAGGGATGCTGCAATGGTCGTAACTATGAAAACCGGTCATAAGTCAGTAACTTTGAATGGCAACTAAATGAACTGTTGTGGGGCTTGGTAATTTTCTTGCAGACATTTCATGACCCAACTAGGCAACATCTTCAGTGCTAGAAGGAAATGGAGTTTGCAGAGAGGAGGAGGGAGGTTTTCTTGCAGACCTTTCACCACCCAACTAGACAACATCATTAGTGCTAGAAGTGGGGGTAGGCTTTTCTCTCATTTAATATACTAATGGCTCACCCTGCCAGCGTTAATGGGAGCAGTCTTGGTTCCTCGTCTGGGGCATTGTACGCTTCTGCATTGCAGCGTCTCTTTCTTGGCGTGCCCTAAGCAACACTTTGATACACGTCTTGCACCCAGCAAAAGCTGCTGCCCCGCAAGGCTTCTGTGGCCCAGCTGTGCCTCTCTTCAAAGAGCTGCTCCCCCTTTGAGGAAGGACCTTCAAAGAGCTTCAAAGAGCTTCAAAGATCTTGCTCCCTTTTCAGAAAAACATCGAGGGTCCACACACATTCCCCCGTCTGCTTTCTCCTACATCAGGGGTAGGCCGCCTTGGCTCTTTTATGACTCGTGGACTTCAACTCCCAGAATTCCTGAGCCAGCATGGCTCAGCTTGGAAACCTCTCTTTCCCCTCAGCATGGCTGGCTCAGGAATTCTGGGAGTTGACGTCCACCAGTCATAAAAGAGCCAAGGTGGCCTACCCCTGGTCTAGGCCTAGGCCGCTTTATGACTGGTGGACTTCAACTCCCAGAATTCCTGAGCCAGCATGGCTCAGCTTGGAAACCTCTCCCTTTCTCCTCAGCATGGCTGGCTCAGGAATTCTGGGAGTTGAAGTCCACGAGTCATAGAGGAGCCAAGATGGCCTATTCCTGGCCTACATTCACAGAAACATTAGTGTTCCTGGGCATAGGCAGAAGGCTCACCCAACCTCTGAATCCGCCACCCGAACTCTCACCAAGGTAGTCCTCGAATTACGACCACATCTGAAATTGACATTTCTGCTGCCAAGCGGGACATTTGTTAAGTGAGTCCTGCCCCATTCTACGACCGTTCTTGCCACAGCTGTTAAGGGAATCATTGACTTTGCTTGTTAAAAGTTTGCCAAAGGAGATCACCTGACCCTGGGACACTGCAACCGTCATAAATATGAGTCAGTCAGAAAGTTGCAACAGTGGATCAAGTGACCCCGGGACACTGCAACTGTCATAAATAGGAGTCAGTTGCCAAGTGTCTGAATTTTGATCACGTGATCATATGGGAACACTGCAATGGTCGCAAGAGTGAAAAATGGTCATAAGTCATTTTAAGTGCCATTGTAATGTCAAACAGTCATTAAAGAAACTGTTGTAAGTTGAGGACCATTTGTACATGACTGGAAAGTCTGAAATGGTATAGGGCTTCCTGCCTGAGCAAGGGGTTGGACTAGAAGACCTCAAAGTTCCTCTTCTTCTTCTTCTTCTTCTTCTTCTTCTTCTTCTTCTTCTTCTTCTTCTTCTTCTTCTTCTTCTTCTTCTTCTTCTTCTTCTTTTTCTTCTTCTTCTTCTTCCTCTTCCTCTTCTTCTTCTTCTTCTTCTTCTTCTTATTATTATTATTATTATCCCCAACCCTACAGGTGAGCAATAGCACCCGACTCACAACCTTGAAGTTGCGTTGGCAAGTTCACACTCTGGTCACAATCTTTGTGTCTCTGTGCCTCATTCCTATTTCCAAATTTCTCATCCCTCACCTTAGGAAAACCAGACTGGAAGCAAACCATTCTCTGTGCATTGCAATTTTTTTATTTTTTATTTTAGCTATGTTTTTTTTATAATGATGGATGGTTTTAATCTCGTTTTTTCAACGCTTTAACGCTTTTATTTTGTAAGTCACTTGGAATCTCCTGATACGAAATGTGCAACAGACAAATTTCATAAATAAGTAAACACAGATGGTCCTTGATTTGCAACAACTCATTTAGTGACTGCTTGAAGTTACAATGGCACTGAAAAATGTGACTTATGCCCTTTTTTCACACTTATGACCGGTACAGCATCCCTGTGGACATGTGATCAAAATTCAGACGTTTGGTAACTGACCGGTATTTATGTCAGTTTATGGTGTCCTGGAGTCACGTGACTCCCCTTTTGAGACTTTTTGACCAGCCCACTCAATGGGGAAGTCAGATTCACTTAACAACCTGGTTCCTAATTTAAACAAGTTCAGTGATTCGCTTAACAATTGTGGCCAGAAAGATCGTCAAACAGAGCAAAACTCCTATAACAAATGCGTTACTTAACAACATGAATTTTGAGCTCAGTTGTGGTTGTAAATTGAGGACCGCCTGGAAATAAAATCCACAATTGATCCACAAAATCGTGGAGTTTTTATTTTTGGAGGTTAAATGCAAAAAAGAGAGAGAGAGAGAGAGAGAGAGAGAGAGTTGAAAGAAAGATAGAAATACAGGAGAGAGAGAGAGGGAGGGAGGGAGGGAGAGAGAGAGAGAGAGAGAGAGAGAGAGAGAAAGAGAGAGAGCTTTTTCTAGCAGTTCATCCTATTTGTTTCCAATCTGGAGTTCTCTATTTTTAAATCAGCTCGTAATATCAGCTGTTTCCCCACAGATGTTCTTTGCTTGAGAGTTGAGTTTGTGTTTGTCTTGTTGTGTGTGTGTGTGTGTGTGTGTGTGTGTGTGTGTGTGCATGCTAAATGCAGCCCCTGAATAGAGGCAATTACAGCACAATGGTTAGGGGGGGGGCTCCTGCCCTTCAGAGATGTGATGTTGGTGGCTTTGGAGGCAATTAATAAGATCGTCACGTCTGGGTGTGCAAAGCAGATGTGGAAGAGGAACACCCCTGGAGCGCCCTTCATGAAAAGGGCTACATCTCTTAAAGATATTTATTTGCTATATTTTCTTTTGCTTAAAAAGCATCCGCGCTAAGCAAACGGATGCGGTTTGAAATGCCAGAATCCTGATGATTAATCAGCTTGGGGTTTGTTTTGTTTTGTGTTGTTGGTTTTTTTTTTTTTTTGCAATCTTTATCAAATCAAAATCTCAGCATTTTACAGTCCTGCATCGGAGGCCAAAGTGTCCCTCTACAATTCTAAAGTGTCTATCGTGAAAAACAAGAGTTTTTGAGACAGTTTCCCAAAGCTTAAAAATTTCTTCTTTTTTTTTTGCCTCTGTTTTATCTCTGCAGCCACTGGATAAGAGAGGCCAAACAGAGAGAAAATAAAATGAGTACTGCACAATTTAATAGCCAAGCAGGGATTTGAACCTGGAGCTGATACTGTCTCAGCCAAAAGAACAAAGCTAAACATTTTATTAAATAGCCACTCGATGGGGGAAAAAAACAAACATTCGTTGTTCAAAAAGCAGAGTAGTAAACAAATGAAGAGGCAAATTGAGACCAGTCTCCCTAACGTGACAATATGCCTACCATGCCAGGATATATAAATTTGTCATAAAACGCAGAGTTCAGCTTAGATCAGCAACAAAGAACAGATCTTCCATATGCTGAAAATGTAATAGCAAACATAAAAACAGAATATGCGCCAATATGCTTGTGTGTTTTGATGATTTGCCTGGGTCAGCGTTTGTTATGTATCATTGCTTTGAGGGAGGGAGGGAGGGAGGAAGGAAGGAAAGAAGGAAGGA